ATGGAAAAAAGATAGCATCTTCAACAAATGGTGCTGGTCTAACTGGATATCTACATGTAGAAAAGTGCAAATAGATCCATACTTATCACACTTCACAAAACTAAAGTCCAAGTGGATCAAAGACCCCAACATAAAACCAGACACATTAAATCGGTTAGAAGAAAAAGTGGGGAAGACCCTAGAACTCATTGGTACAGGAGACAACTTCCTGAACAGAACACCAACAGCACAGGCTCTAAGAGCAACAATCAATAAATGCGACCTCATGAAACTGAAAACCTTCTGTAAAGCAAAGGATACCATCATCAAAACAAGGCAAATACCTACAGATTGGGAAAGAATCTTCACCAACCCTCTATCTGAGAGAGGGCCAGTGTCCAGTATATATAAAGAACTAAAGAAACTGAAAAGCAACAAACCAAGTAATCTAATTAAAAAATGGGGAACAGAGCTAAACAGAGAATTCTCGATAGAGGAATATCGAAAGGCAGAGAAACACTTAAAGATTATTCTTTTCTGTAAGACAATATAGTCATTGACATATAGAGGAGAATTTGATGTATACTTTGTGTAGAAGGCTTTGCCTGATATAGGAACAGGGTTTCCATTTGAATGCAGGGGTAGAAAAGCAGGACATATGAGTTCAGAGGGTCTGTGAGTTCAACCCTGGTAAAGTGTGGGAAAAATGTTTGTACTGTGCTGTTTCATCAGTTCCAAATAAAGCTGGATTATCACTAGAGTGCTACAAAGACAGACTGTGATGGCTTAAGGGGAGATGAAACAAACAGTCTCAGAAATTTAGTAACATAATTTTGGAAAGGAATCCTTTCCACACTGATCTGTAGAAACCAGTTCCAATAGTTTGTGGACATGAATTTAAGGGGCCACTGGATACCTTATATAGATGATCTCACATTCCCATTCACTGCTATAGAAGTAGCAGACAAAAATCAAAGAAATAGGCTTGAGGGAGATTGTTGTTCTATGGATTGGGGGACCAAACATGTCACTGGGCTGGGGCTATTCTCTGGAAGCACTGGAAGAAGACAAGCAAAGCTGCTCTCCCAGGTGTTGAAGAACAAATAACACAGTGGCAGACAGTTAAGTATTGTAAGGAATCAAAGGTGGGTCAGAGGTCAGCACATCATTAGAATGAATTTAGATTCAGTGTCCCTGATCATAGAGGAACTAGTACCTTCACAGACAGCCAGTGTCTCAAAGTAAGCAGACAGCAGTCCTCTCCAGCTGCCTACTTTAGAGTTGACATGAGAGACATTCCCAAGACAGAGATGTTGAAATGGAGAGCATGAAATCCTGGCTTGAGGAGAAGTAGGAAGGCAGGGAGGGAAAAATTGGATGAATAAGTAGGTTCTGGGATGAGATGAAATCCACAAAGATTGCTAGAATGTGATCCACAGACCACACAATAGCTGGATTATAAGGATAAGAGATGTTTCTGTTAGACTGCGGAGCTAATGCAATAAAACGTTTGGCCAGCATTAGACACGGTCTGTCTTTTGAACTGTTCAAGAGATTTTTAAATTAGAGAATTAGGCACATTTAAACAGACTCTGGGTATATAAAATATGAATATTCTCTTGTGGTTAAACTGGGCAAGGAATGAAATGACAAATCTATATTATTATTGATAAAAGCCTAGTAATAAGCAATGATTTGACATATGCTAGTAAGGTAGATTTTTTTTATAAGGTAGAATTTTCTATAGTTATAATTTTTTCTTTGGAATTTTGCCTTGATTCCTAAAAGAAATAAAGATCCCCAAAATTCTGCCTTTTAAAAAATGTTTAATCCTCATTCAGAAGGGCAAATAGGATAGACATCAGAAGTGGGAAAAGAAAGGAAAGAGGACAGGAGCCTACCATAGAGGGCCTCTGAAAGACTCTACCCAGCAAGGTATTGAAGAAGATGTTGAGACTCGTAATCAAACTTTAGGCACAGTGCAGGGAATCTTATGAAAGAAGGGGAAGATAGAAAGACCTGGAGGGGACAGGAGCTCCACAAGGAGAACAACAGAGTCAAAATGTCTGGGCCCAGAGGGGCCTAGAGAGCCTGATGAATCAACCAAGGACTATGCACAGAGACCCCCTGCTCAAATGTAGCCCATGGGCAGCTCAGTCTCCGTCGGGGGTTCCCTAGGGAGAAAAGCAAGGGCAGTCTCTGGTATGAACTAGGTTACCTGGTCTTTGATCACCTCCCCCTGGCCAGGTGGCCATTCTAGGCCACAGAGAAAGAGGACACAGAGAGTCCTGATGAAACCTGATAGGCTAGGGTCAGAGAGTAGGGGGAGATGACCTTCCCTATCTGTAAATTAAGGGAGAGACATAGTGGAGGAAGAGGGTAGGGAGGGTGAGACCTGGAGGAGATGAAGGAGGGGGCTGTAGCTGGGATGCAAAGTGAATAAATTGTAATAAATAATAAATGATAAACAAGATTTTAAAATTATCTTAAGAGAAACATATTTTGACAACCATAATTATCTTTATGTGCCACTAAATACCAGTTCAGGGGCCTGAATGTATGAAGAGGCTCATTTATTTATTTTTACATATTTCACACATTGGATCAATGCTAATTTTCATTATCATTTGTCTTTACGTCAATGTGGAATGTAAGATCCACTAAAACACATACCTATCACATTCACTACTACAATATATAGCCAGAAGAATGTCCAGACACCTTTTTTTTTTCCTATTTTGCTGGGATTGACCTCAGAGCCTCAAACATGCTTAGCGTGTACTCAACCACTAAACAATAGCCTCAAACCATATATGTGTTTGTGTGTGTGTGTGTGTGTGTAAACAATGTATACACACACATATATACATATATGTAAACATGTGTGTATATATATATATATATATATATATATATATATAAAATGAACAAGTATTCATAGAAAATAACAGAAAATAGACCTGTCCTGTTCAACCTAATGACAAAAAGTGATGCCTGCCAAAGTCTGAATATTTTATTATCATTATAAAATGCTTTTATTTAACCCAGCAGTGTACATCTTCTAAAAACGTCACTTAATAATGAATAAGTAAAAGATTTTCTTGAACTGTTATTAAATTATGAAGATATTTAGCCATTTAGGATGACTGAGAAATCATGTTTTCCCCATGGGTAAACTACTAAACAAACTCTATAGGCCTCCAGCTAGACTTTGAATCATAGATGACTACCAAAAAATTTAAACAAACAAACAAACAAATAAACAAACAAAAAACTATTCATGGTGTTCCTCTGCACTTTAGAAACCAAATTCCTAAATATTCAGTGGCTTGAATTTGCTTTTTATTCATCTTCTTTTAATGACTAGGAAAGGTTCAGTCATAAAATACAATCTCATTTTTATTTATAAAATATGAATTAACATTATATAATAAATAATGTATAACTCGGTAACAATATATATAATAAACCAGGTGAAATTTATAACAAGTATATACTATGTGCAATAAATCATGTCGAACATGTGCCCTTGCCCACAGTATACATATGAAATCTGTCAAAATGCCTTCCTTTGTCTTAGACAAGTCCTAGAATTAAGAACTTCCTACTTTTAAAAAGCCACAAAGGCGTACTGAACACCTTTAGCTATATAATCTTCTAATCATGTGTCATCTCTTTAAATGACACATTCTTAATCTTAAAATACCACCAGGTAGAAAAAAACAAGACTCAGCTTTTTTTCATCACTAGGGGAATGAGGCCCCTGAATTTTCTAATATCCAACCACAGGCTATGATTTTGGTGGAAGAATGCTTCAGGATTGAATGAGATTTCTACCTTTGTTCATACAGAGTTGAATCTGAGAATGATAATCACTTTGATTCATGAATTTCAACAGTGTTCTCTTTCAATCTCCCCCATTGTCTTAAAGGTCGTATTTTTTTCTATCTAAAGGAAATTGTTCTTACGTTGATTAAATTGAGCCATGACTCATTCTTTATAAATCACCAACAGTGACAGTTGAACAAACTATGAAAGCCATAGTTGACTACAGAGAGGGCAAACCCAGTCTTCAGGGTGCTATTTGGCCTTAGTCTCAGGCCATATTCCCCTCTAGGAGAATTCCTCAAAGAGCAAAATCTTTCCCAGAGCATGGCATGATATAAATCTGATCTTCAGAAGAGATGTTACATTCCAGTGCTGAAATGTTTTGAGTAGTAAATGCTTTGATATAATTGTAAGTTTCAATGACTTCAAACAGTGAGACCAAAAAAAAGGATAGAAAACAAAAAAGTTTTTTAGTATTTTCTGAAATTTTCCATCCCTGTTTATGGCCTCATAATGTAGAAAACATCACTGATATAATATTTACGCTCCCTGAAAAAAAAAAACAAACATGTTAAATATCTAGAGGTATTAATTCACTCCACAAAAACAGCAGATGGTGTCCTGAAGGTTTAAAAGACACCGATGGACTTTGTTCTTTGGGTGCAATGTTTTGACAAAGCAAATAGAAACCAGATTGTACTGAGGTCATAAGCGGAGTTGAAATGTAAGGGAATCGTTTGGAGATGTATCTCCATGGTAGAGCTTTAGTCCATGTATGCAAGGACCTCAGTACAGTTCAGTCTGCATCACTGAAAACAAAACAAAATAAACAAAACCACCACCACCAACAACAACAAAAATTTTAAAAAAGGACAACACACCTCACAAAAATATCTTAATTTAAAAATAGGAGCACAAAGTTTTAATGTTTTTATAATACGAACTATTTAAAGTGATGGTGTGTTGCTCACAGAAGACCATCCAGAAACTGTGACGAGTAGCCACCGAAAGGCAGAGTTAGCAAATAGCTTCTCATGCCTGTGATACGATTAATCCAACTCTTATTTGTTTAGTTATGGGGGGGGGTGTTGTTTTTTTCAGTAATGCCAAAATATTCTTGTTTAGATTTGCTTTGAGACAGATGGCTGCTCTGCAGCTGCCTGAGGGGCGGGGGCGACATCTCTGCCATTTACCTTGGCTAATGAACTGCTCCATGTTTTCCTTGAAAGGTTGCATGTGCTCTTCAGAGGAGACCTGGTACACTTTACCTGCTTCCACCTCACAGGCTGAAATGAAGAGGACAAGACCAGTTTTAGAACGCCACATTGTCAACACTACGCTACTCTTTAGAAAGCCTACGAGCCAATGTTGAAAAACCCTTTCGTTGACCCTTTCCAAACCTTTCATCAACAGTTTTCACTGACATGTATTGTGTACCCATATTGGAAAAATCTTCATGGATATATGTTATGTACCCTTTCAGTGAACCATAAAAATGCATTCCCACTTATAAACGGGTAGGTTCCACAAGTTACTTGTATCTCAGGATCTCGGTTTCTTCATGTGACCATGGTAAGGTTACCAGAGCCTATATCACAGCGCAGTTCCGGGGTCAAACCTGGTAAGAGCTTTGAGATGTTACAGTAGTGCTCAGTAGATGGTATAGAAATAGTGAAGCATTTCCACTATTATAACTATCAAATGACTTCTAACCCAATCTTATCTCTAATTATAGTCAAGATTTCTGAAAAATAAAACACAGAGGTGGTGATTTTAGCAAGATGGCCACTATTTCCAGAGCACTTCCTTGCTTGGCATCAGGAGATTTTTACTGATAATTTAATCAAATTTTGAAAATAAGGCAAAGGAAGAGACATTACTACCATCTAGGACAGCTGAGAAAATCAAGGTGTAAATACGGCCGGTCACAGGAAGAAAGAACAGACTCGTATGTGAAGTTCTGAGTTGACACTGAAGATTGTTTTCCCTTTCCATTCCACGGCATCACAAATTCCTCAGGACAGACTCTTCTGGAGTTGTGAGTCATCTCTAAGGGAATTTACCAGTGCCTCCCATTGATTTAGTTGTGTATATTTACCCCAGAGTATAGTTTCTAGTCTCTAAGTTGGCCAGAAGGGTCCTCTTCATCTGTGTACACAGTGCTTGAGGTAGAGAGGAACCAGAGCTTTACACAAAAGAAACTGCTATCTACCACACCCACGGTGATGAATTTCTTTAGTCTGGCACACTCTACAGTGGTAGATGGGACAATACTACAAAGGATCCCAAAGCCCAAATTCTAGCTCTCAAAGTTCTTTACTAGGAGATAAAATGTATTCTATTATTTATGTCTAGTTTACCAAGAAGGAAAGATCTGCTGTTAAAACACATTGTGGATTAGAATTTAAAAATATGCACACATGTCCTGTTTTTTATAAACATTCTAACACATAACGCAGATAAAAATAAGTTTAATGCAGTTAGTACATAAGACATTCAGATATTTCATTAAAATTCTGGCCCCAATTCTATCTTAGCCATAATATGCCATATTTCACAACATATCATTCTGGCTAGTACTTATCATTTTAAAGATTGGTATGTGACTATGCAATTAAAAAAAAAACAACACAAAACACTGCAATATAAACTTGAAGGGTCATTTAGAAACATTATTAAAATCAGAACAAAGATAGAGTTCTTGGAAAACTAATTATAGTCAAATCCAAATATTAAAAAAAACATTTGTCAGGAGGCTGTTGGCATAACTGAGTCATTCCAATCGTGTTAACTTTTGTTTAATTTAAAGACTTTTCTGAGCCAAAGAGATTTTTGTGTGATGTTAAAGGACTGATATTGGGAAGTATGCATTAGGCTTCCCAACAAAGAAAAATACAGCCAGAGGGAAGGAGGAACAAAACCCTCAGATATTCCATTTTAAAACTGACCTCAACACATCTCTTTCTTGTACAGAGCAGCATGCTGTGAGGAAGGGGAAACACCACTTTATCACTGTCAGATTAACCTTCAACATCACACAGCTTTCTCCAAAGCATACTTACATCATGAGAAGTTTGGTTACTTTCTGAGAGAGTTGGAGTATTCCAGCCATAATATACTCAAGTCTCCAAGTTCAATCAATGTTAATTACAGCCTAAAATTACTGTTTTTATGTTAGCCTCGAGAAAGTTACATTAACATCTACAACATAGACAGAGGAGGACAAACATGCTGATTAGATGAGAAACTCTAACCTTTCAGAACTAAATTGGGCCCTCTCTCCACAGAAGAGCCTAGTCCATACAACATTGCAGATTCAGGATACACACACATACACACACACACACACACACACACACACACAATCTATCACCTAACTATCTATATCAATCAATCATCTATCTGTCATCTATCCATCTTTATCAATTATCTATTTATCTGTCATCTTTCTCTATCATCTATGTGTGTGTGTGTGTGTGTGTGTGTGTGTGTGTGTGTGTGTAGAGATAGAGAGAGAGAGAGAACCCTCTGGGCAGTGAGATGTACACTACTTCCTTTCTTCCAGGACAAGAACAAAAATTTTTTAAAATATATATCATCTACAAAGAGAGGAAGGCGTAGATTTAAGAAATATTTAAGGGTTGAAATCAGCAGAGATAGGTCATGGATTATTGTGCAAATATTATAAAAAGAAACAAACATTAGAGTTTAGAGCACTAGGGAGAGGAGGCTCTCTTCAATCAACCTGCAAGAGTTAGATTCAAGTCATTTTGAAAATGATCTCCAAGGTTAAAGACATTTAAAAGGCTCACACAGTGATTGCTGTGTGTGTAGGAATAAAGTAGACAGGGAAAGGATGTCAGTGCCATCTAAAGTTTGGGTGTTATGGAACAGTCATATAGGTAGAGTGGCTTTAGAGGGAAGAACGTGAACATGAATTTGTTGAGCTTTGGATGGTAGGAGCTCATGTACTTGCAGTCTTCTGTCAGGCACGATGCAGTGTTTTGAATGTGAAAACATATCCCCTGGGTTCAAGTGTTTGAGCACTTGTCTCCAGATGATAGTGCTCTTTGAGACATTCCTAGAGCTTTAAGGAGGAAGAGCACCTCGGGAGGAAACAGTGGTAAGAACTGAGGTTTCATAGCGTGGCTCTACTTCCTGTTTGCTTCCTGCCTGGCTGTAGACACGCCATGACCTACTGTGGGCCAAGAAACACTCTCCATCAAGACGTTTCCTGCCACGTACCCCCTTACAACAAGACAAGTGATGCACATTGGTGGTCGAACGTGTGGATTGGAGTGATGACAGATCAGGAGGGCAAGGTCCTCTACAGCTCTATAGTAAGAGGAGGCCAGCTTGGGATACCTGAGACCCTGCCTCAAAACAAACAAACAAACAAATGATAGACAGACAGACAGATAAAAGTAAGCCAAATCGTGTCCCACTAACATGTTTAATTTTTTGTGTTTTCATGAATCAGTTAAAATTTTACATTAAAAATACAAATTAGGGCTACTACATATATTGCTGTTAGAAAATCATCCCTCTAACAGAATTCCTTTTGTCACACCACCCCCCCCCCCACCACCACTTTATATATAACTGATTTTGCTTTTCTTCCATGGACAAAGGCAACCCGTTTTAGGGTTGCACCTAAAAGGGATAAACTGTGTATGACTTTCTAATGGATAGTTCAGTTTCCATGCTTCAGGTTCATCAACTATAGTACATGAAAAATAAGTGACCATCTCCCTAGGGTTGCTATGAGGGCTAAATAAGTGAATACATTTAAAATACTTAGAACTATGCCCAGAACACAGCTCTGTGTCAGTTTACCTGTCACTGTTTCTGTCTGTTATTCCCAGAGGCAGCAACAGCCAGAAAACAATCTAACTTAGGGTCCTAGAGCCTGGCTGTGGACAATGGGTATACACACTGCATCTTTCACTGACGATTTTTCTAACATTGACTAGGTATGTGTCCCTCTTGTGTTACAATGTCTTATAAAAATGGTAAAACAAATGGTGCCTAATTCACAGGGCTTTGGATATCCAAATTTTGATGCAGGTAAAGCACACAGTGCAGTAAGAATTTAAGTGTGATCTAGTTATTGCTATCATACAGTTGGCAATACTATGCAAGATCATTTGTTTGGGAATAACATACGATTTGGAAACTGAGTGCTCGCCTCTAAATCTCATTAAACATTGGAGACAACATTTCAGATTATGACCAAAAACGATGTCTATGTAGGGACAACAGATAACCTAGACCCAACGTGTGTGTGTATGTGTTCATGTGTGACTGTGTGTTTGAGTGACTTTATGTCTGTGTATGTGTGTGTATGTAGGTATGTGTGTTCATGCACTTGTGTGTGTGTGTGTGTGTGTGTGTGTGTTTGTGTGTGTGTTGAGTAAATGACACTGGCTGGACTGACGTTCCATTGTGAGGTGTGCCTCAAGGATCATGGAAAGATTGGTTTTCACTTTAATACTATCTTACTTAGCTGAAAGAGTCTTAGTGTTAATATATATATGTATATATATATATATATGCATATATAACTTTTCATATGTTTTAAAAAATCTTTAAATTGTTTTCTTTTTATACATGAATACATTTTACTTTGATTCAGTCCACCCCTTACTACCATTCTCCAATTTCTCCAAAGTTCCCTTCTCAAAGCTTAGGGGACATCATGTGCTGGAGGAAGGTTTTGTGTACTGAGTATTCAGATGCTGATTTCTGTACCAGAGATCTGGTAGCAGTAGTCTTGATGAGGCCTGTTTCAATGTTGTGTCAAAATTGTTCTCCATAGCCTCTGATTAGTTAATAGAGCGGTGAACAGCCAATAGTGGGGCAGAAGTAGAGCAGCACTTCCAATCCCAGAGAGGGGGGTCTTGGGTGGAGCAGCGAGAGAAAGGAGAAGATGAAGGTGTCACCATGAGGACAAAGATGGAGCAGGAACGACCAGGGCAAAACTGGAATGGCAGGTAAAGGGGCATATGGCTGAAAAGTAGACCAGGACAGCAGAATCAAGTTAGAATAGATGAGTATGAGCCCAGCTATACTGCTTGAAGCTTTTTAATAAATATAATATGTCGCCATGTCATTATTCAGGAGCTAGAATGGTCGAACAAAAACCCTAATTTACAGTCATTTCTTAAGAGTGGGTGGAAAGTGTGTGAGAACCAGAAGTCAGATTGGACTGCTATTGAGTAGTCTCTACCAGATATGAGATATAGCCATAACCAGGAACTCTCAAAAGCTGTGTTGGCCTACACAA